TTTGTAATATCTTTGTGATATTGACTATGTTGCATCAACGAGCGCTGACCTATCTTTTTTTTTCCTATTGTATACTTGCTTCCGTTTTTCTTGAATTATACTTCAAGTGAACCGGCCAGCGTTGCCTTCTGAATTCGAGCCATTCCAGAGTATGATTTCTTTATAACACAATGCTCTTGTATTTTTATCGTCTGTTCGTGTTTTAATTTTTTTTATTTAGCTTTTAATGTCACTGTGAAGCCTAAAAGGACACCATTTCCGTGGGATACGAATATAAATGAGAGCTCCATTGACGAGCTTAAGAGAAAGATTACTGTAACTTGGGCTGACATTGAAGATGTCAATGAGGCCACATTGGCGATTTCCGTAGACACTCAAAAACTCATTATAACGGATGATTCGGATTTGCGAAAAACGTTAAAGGTTATGGCGATAGCTGGAACCCTAAGTTTTAACGTTTCCCTCGAGACGTGTACGTATACTCATTGTTTCTTTATAAGAGTACTGCAGCTCATTGCTTTGCTATACTAACATTCTCTTCACATAGTGTCAAAGGCTTTCACTGATTTCAAATTCCAAGAAGTTTGTCACTTGTTTGGCATCGTTGAAGGCGAAGATCCCGCTATAAGTGCATTCCCGATGTTTAATTGTGGTACGATTTCATTGTTCAATTCAATTATCAAACCTTTTATGGTCTGAATTCAATATCTTGGGTATTGTACTTTTCAGATAAAAGAACGATACGTGGGGATCCAGTAGCCGAACAACACCTAGCGCATCTGATCAATGATTTGATGGTATATAACCATGGTGGCCATTGTGAAATTTGTGTTTTTAATGTGAAGTTTGACTCACCATTTGAACCGAATAATAGGCACTAAATGACACGACCGACCTCGACTTGACAAACGAGGCAACCCGTTCCCTATATGTCAGGTCCTTTCTTGTCGCAGCAGTTCGTTGTTTCAAAGATCATATCGTTCTCAGGCCTCAAAAGAAACTTCGTGGAAGGCATGGTCATGGGCCTGTAGACTTTGCTCTTGAGTCTCGTCACACAAGTGCAACAGTAGGTGTTACTGAGATCAAAAGAGACGATCTCAAAAAAGGGATTGCTCAGAACGTGGTCCAGCTTGAAGCATGCTTGGTATGTGTAATGAACATGTGGGAATTTTTTGGGCCATGCTAACTTACTATTGGGAATAGACTGGTTA